GATAAGAGAGAGGGAGGGGGGAGATGATTGATGGGAGGGAAGGAGGGGGGGAGATGATTGATGGGAGGGAAGTGGGGGGGAGATGATTGATGGGAGGGGGGAGAAGATTGGGGGGGAGAAGAAGAGAAGATTATGGGGGGAGAAGAAGAGAAGATTACGGGGGGAGAAGCAGCGATTACAGGGAGGGAAGGGGGGAGAAGAAGAGAAGATTACAGGGAGGAGAAGAAGAGGAGAACACAGGGAGGGGGGAATAAGAGGAAAACACAGGGAGGGGGGGAATAAGAGGAAAACACAAGGGGTGGGAGATGAGAACGTAGGGGAGGGAGAGACCACTAAAGGAGGGAGGGGGCGGTGGAGAGACCACTAGGGGAGGGGTGTGAGGAGAGACCGCTAAGGAGGGGGGTGGAGGATAGACCACTAGGGAAGGGTGGGGGGAGAGGAGAGACCACTAATGGAAAGTCGGGGAGAAAAGGAGACCACTAAGGGAGGTGGGGGGGAAAGGAGAGACCACTAAGGGGCAGGGGAGATATCTAAGGAATGGAAGGGAGAGCTCTATAGGACAGGGGGACAGGGAGCTCTTTCACACCACACACACACACACACACTGCATCCCTATACACACAGAAACACAACATGCTTCCCTTACACACAGAAAAACACACAATGCAACCCTTACACATAAAGACAATGCATCATTTGCACATATACACAGAAACACACAATGCATTCCTTACACACACATGCAAACACACACTGCTTCTCTTACACACACACAAACACAATTCATCTCTTACACACACTCAACGCACCCCTTACAGACACACACTGCATCCCTTACATACACAGATTCACACAATACATCCCTTATACACAAACACACACACTGCTTCCACTACACACAAACTCACTGCATCACCTACACAAACTGGTATCCCTATACACTACATTACGTAAGCACACACATTAGATCCTCTACAGTAACACATAACACATCCCCTACACACTCCACTCCCTGTGAGCGAACTCATGGGTGGAACATGTAGGTGGACTTATGGGTGGGCTTTATGGGCATACTCACCATCAGGCCCTGGGGCCCAGACCTTGAGCTGTGTAAGAGGCCCCAAAAAATGGAGCTGCTTCCCGTTCTCCCAGAACATTGAATTTTGTGACCACAGTTACAAACAGCCTCCAGAGATCCTGTTCTACACCAGACCAGTGGAGCCAGAGCCCATCACCATCCTCATCTGGTTGTAAGTAGGCAATCTAGTATATTATTAGTGACACTGATCTCTAATTTACCTCACATTAAATGGACACTATAGTCCCCAGAACCACTGCAGCTTAATAAAGTTGTTCTGGTGTCTATAGTTTGTCCCTGCAGGCTTTTTAATGTAAACACACACTGTGTGCAGCACTGGCATTAGTTCTATGGGTGGGGCATTGCGATGTTCCGGGGGGGCGGCAAATCCGTCTTTTGCCTAGGGCGGCAAAAATCCTTGCACCGGCCCTGCCTCCGTGCAGCAGAACCGACAATTTATATTAAAATACATAACTTTTCAAATATGCAGTCTATTTGCACGAATGGACGTTCGGTAGATAGCTGGGGTCTGAGCGCATCATTCGTGAGATTACCGCTCAGATCCCAGCTAAAACAACCGAACGCCGCACGAAAAACACAATTATTGAGAAACATATTAAAAAGACCGATTGCCTTCCAGGGAATGAAATACCAAACGGCCCGGAACACCTGAACGTCCTGGAGGCTCAGCGGTGTTCGCGCCGTCGAGTAGCCGTTTTTAGTACCATGCGCTCGACGACCTAACACCGCTGAGGGAACAAAGGATCCAAGATGGCCGACCGCCGCATGGTCGGTAGTCGAACGGCGGCCACCTAGGAGAGCCTCTAATTACCGATTGCAACATTGTTGCAATCGGTTAACAAGCGCCACACGCCTCTAAGTGTGTGGGCTATTATATGGAGTGTTTTCGGTTCACGAACGGCCCGCCAAAGTGCCGTTTGTGAAACGAAAGGAAAACCCAATACAAATAGCTATCTGCATTCGGCGGATAGCAAATACAGGCAATTCAAGGTATTACAGCCAGCATACATTGTACATAGTTGAAGACATATCCCCACCGACATACAGGCAACCCTTAAAGGTACAGTCTCTTGATATAGTCCAAGTGGCTAGGTTTGCCACATTTCATGTGAATGTGATGCATACTTTTCAAGTTCTGAATGTGGAAAAACTGTATTTCTCTGCTTGTGATAATTACATTACCCATTGTGTAAGGTAATTGTATCACAGGCAGAGGGGAGGATTTTGTGTGGGAGTGTCTGAGTGTATTGTACGTGTTTATTGGTTGTTTTCCAAAACCCTGTGGGTGGTACTAATGTGTATATAAGAACAATAAACCCACAGCTCTGTTTGTTCTGCTTGACCTCAAAACGAAGTGTCGTCTCGTTATTGGGGGAATTGGATTGTATGCGGATTGCCAGGAGTGTAAACTGATTGTATGCTTTTCCTGTTCAGCTGCTTACAGCATTCATATGCTTGAGAGCATTCTTATGCTTCTCCGGTTCGGTGGTTGTGGTGTCTGCTGCAGTGCTTGGAGTCCTCAGGAAGCGCTAGGAGCATCCTTCAACAGAGGTACCCAGTCGGGGTGCCAGGCGATCCGTTACAGGGATTAATAGTGAATGTCAGTTCTAACTAAAATAGTTGAAACAGAAACAGAAGACTCCGATATTTCCGATTCAGCTATTGTGGCCAAAATGTAAAATTCACTTTGTTTTTTTTTTAATTCTTTATTTTTGTTGTGCTTTCAATTACAAACAGGCTTGCAACGCCACGACAGCGGGTGCAAGCAGCAAACAATTATCAGTATCATGGTATAGATAAACAGCAAATTTTAAGGTGTTATAGAAGACAGGCTAAACATATATCGTCACATGGGGAATAAATTCACATTTTGTCAATAAAATAGACATGCTTATACCAGTCAGTGAGTAGAAGTCTTAAGGCTGGATAAAAAAAGCTAGAGATAGTGATGTCGCGAGCTGTTCGTGAACTTCCCGCGAACGGCTCACCACGAAACGTTCGTGGCGAGCTCCGGTCAGCTGACACATCATTGGCCGGGATATTGCCTGACTATCACATTTAGGATAGTGCAATTTGTGACTCTCACTTGGTGGTCCTTTTCCATCTAAGCATATGATACTTCACGAAGATGACCAATCTAGCGACATCACTAGCGACATCACTAGCTAGAGACACTGACTGCTAGATTGGTCATCTTCGTGAAGTATCATATGCTTAGATGGAAAAGGACCACCAAGTGAGAGTCACAAATTGCACTATCCTAAATGTGATAGTCAGGCAATATAGTGAAGGGGAGTATATCTGAAGGTCATTCAGGCATTAGGCAACAGGCTCTGCATGTTAAAATAATAGTAAAAACCTAAATTGAATGCAAATAATAACAGAGGTGAATGACACAGGGACAGTCTGCAGACCACCTTCATCCACAGGCCTTGGTCAGGAGTCTCCCAGAGCATGCAGGCAAACATTGCGGCATTGCTGCCCCACAAGCCCAGGACAGTAAGCAAGCCCCTGCCTCTTCATCACTAGGCTCTCTGTCTTCAGTGACATGGCCATTGCCCTGCTGAGAGCCCCTATCACTGATAGGCTTACATGGTTGTGGACGACTAATGGACGTCAGGTCTACGCTGGAGGTCCCCCCAGGAGCAGGTAAGGTAAGTGACTGCTGTAGCTGTCGGGCCTCAATGCAGGCCCAGAAGGACGTGCAGATTGCTTCTAATGCTGTGTTGAATCTGATTTCCCATAAGGGCGTGTGAAGCAAGGTATAGATTCTTCAGGGTTCACCTGATGTCGAGTTGGGTCAACCAAGCTCGTGATCAAGCAGGTCTGGTCACTCAGTGCAGTGAGCTCTGCTTCTCCCCGCCACAATGTTCCCATAGCGGCGGCCATCTTGGAACCTCTGCAGAATTTCAAGCTTGCAGGAGTTGTACTGCCTTGCTGGTGCAAGAGGGTTGAGATTCCTTGGTGGGGTCCGGGATAATCCAAGAGTTGCGGCATGCCCAAGAGTTGCCAGGCAGTAGCAGGAAGCCAGGTGTGGGCTGAAAGTAATGATTTTGGGGCAATAAAATGTAAACCAGCGTCTGCTCGGCTTGATGGTCAGGCCCCCCCACCCCCTCTAAAATTCAATTTGAACCCCGGAGAAGTAACACCTGACGGAGTTATTTACTAAACTCCAAAGTATATCAAACTAAATATGAATGGCAAAACTGGCTAATACAGCGGATTTGGAAACATTCTCCAAAACCCTTAAAGCCACAGCTGGGCGATTTTAGTCTGAATTTTGCCATTGCTATTTAATTTCCTGAAATTCTGCATTTTGTGAATAACCCTGCATAGTGAATGGCCATACAGCAGGGGTAGGGGGGTTATGCAATACACATAATATACTGTACCCTGATATTTACAGAAGCGGAACCTTTGACCAGATGAGTCTTTATTTTCACTCAGCCCAGGAAATCATACTGAAGTATATAATGTGGCATTTGAATAATTTATTTATTCACTGAGCATTGTCTGACTTTGCTAACAGCATCGTACCTGCTGGTGCTTTTTTGTGATTCATCACATGTTGTTTGTACATTATTCTTAACAAAAAAAAACTAAATAAAAAAATGCAGGAAATGTTCTTGGAGTTTCATATTATTCTCACAGTATAGAGTTCAAACTACAAAAGAAAATCTTACTGGGTTAATCTCAGAAAGAAGAATCAAACTCATTACGATCCACCGTTGTTACATTAACATTTACATGTTCACATAAACTGGGTGTTCCTGGGAATCTGATGACATGCGGAGGTTTGGATGTCCTCCTTTGGTTTCCACCGCACAGCTTCCATTTAGACGCAGGAAATCCTGAAAATGATTCGATTTTAGCAGTTTTGGAACTCATCGCTGATACGGGTGCATCGATGCCGATTTGATGTTGGTTTTTATGTTGCTGGGCATCTTACCTAAAGGGAGAAATAAAACAAACAAAAACAAGAATCAACAAATAAATCATTAAATAGAAATTTTACAAGAAAATACTTTTTGCAAGTTCTACAAATAGAAGAAACCTATGACTACATACGATTTACTTTACAGAGATCTCTGGAATCTGGTAAAACTCTGACTCGTGTTTTTAGCTAATAAAGGCTGATGTGATATGGTGTTCAAGCCTCTCTAAACTCAGAGGTGTTTCTCTAATGGTCTTACATTTTAATTATTTTACTGTGAGAGGGCTGGGTACCCCATGTGGGGAGATTAGAGTATACAAATATACAGTTATTTTTAATCAAGACAATCATTTTAACATTAGCCTGTAGATTTGAAACTATTCTACAATTTATGGGTTGTAATTTTAACTATATCGTATAACTTGTAATGACCATATTTCAGTATATGTTTTATAATGTCCTAGTTTTTTCAAATACATATTTATATTGTTGTGGTTGGAGGAATATATTTAACTTTTTCATTCTGTACCCTTTCCCTAGTTGTTGTTCCCAAAGTAAAAAAAACATATAATAAAAATTATTTGAAAATAATGTAAACAAAAGAAGAGATCAGGAAGCTTCGCCTTTACCTGGCTGGCTACCCTGTGCCATAGACACTCCTGTCATATGCTGCTGCTGGTTAGACTGCATGGTCATGGGACCCTGGGTCATTCCTGCAGATCCCTGGAGCATTCCTCCTGCAGCCTGACCTGAAGCCATAGGTCCACCTTGCCCAGGAGGGCGGCGATTTGAGAGCCCTTTTCCGAATGCTACTGCCGCCACCAAAGCATTTGTGTCTGTGGGATTATAGGTCTGCTTGTTCTGACGTAAATCTAAAAGAAGAGCAGATATTTTTTACTGTATACACCCTGGAATCATTTCAAGATATAGTCTTCATAGTCTGTGGCTTTTAAAGTATACATGGTATGAATCTCCATATATGACTAGCTGAAAATATCCTTGTTTATACGAAGTACCTTCTTCTAAGACAAGACTTTCTGTTCACTCCATTTTAAGAAATGTCTATATCTCTCTGGTTTAATGTTTATTAGGCTGCTGCTAACTTGAATATCTTTATCGTCCTCGTTTCCAGACGAGTTTTCGATGTACTTGATTGTATGTATCAATTTCTGTGAATAATTTTATCTTCTACATTTCATGTTTTACTGTCTGTGTTCATGCACAAAAATAAAAATGTAAAAAAAGAAAAATTAGAAAAAAAAGAGAGCTTGCAAGACATTGAATGCAAGTTTTAAGCAAATTATAGCCACAGTAAAGAAAAATGGAGTTTTGGAATTTTCCAAATTTTGATATATAGGCATTAAGATGGCTAATAGAGGTGTGTCCTGTGTCAGTGCTAAACAGTGTGCAGCACCGGCATTCAGCATCTCTTTGCTCTGCGTAGAGCCCCTGAACGTGGCGTTTTGACATGCATGCGCAATAGTCACCCAATGCTTTCCTATGGGATTAGTGTAAGACTCACCGATATCGGGATACTGTGATGTAATTATTGTAGAACCCACCGATATCAGGGTACTGTGATTTAAATTATTGTAGACCCCACCAATATCGGGGCACTGTGATGTAATTCGTGTAGGACCCACCAATATCAGGGCACTGTGATGTAATTAGTGTAGGACCCACCAATATCGGGGGGGATGTGATGTAATTAGTGTAGGACCCACCGATATCAGGTTACTGTGACGTAATTCGAGTAAAACCCAATGAAATCGCGGGAACTGGGAGGTAGTGATAGGCTCATCACAATATGGGTTTGTGGTGGAACTGAATCCCCATATTTATTTGCCGAGATAAGGGATTTTAAGACGCTTTTAAAAATGTAAATATGTCTTTAGTGTGTGCTGTTCCTTAGTCTGTGTAATATATAAATTTTGTTCTCTATGCCAGCGCCATTGCTAAAAGATACGTATTCTAGGTGTGCCCTCAAATCCCCCCCTTTTTCCTTGTATGCATTACATTTACTGACCTGTTTGGTGATTTTGAAAGATCCTACTTTGTTTTATTATCCTGACTGAAAAATACTTTCAAGGTTATTTGTGAGACGAACTGAACCTCGTCATGGGTTCTTGCAGGAGACTGCTGGCCAGCCTCTTGCCTTAGGACTTTGGCCCCAGCAATAGACCTTGGCTAATAGACTTTAAAAAGGCTCTGTTCGTGCAATTGGGATTATGTGGTTCGGGAACCGAACAGCCGCATGAACCAAAGACCACCCGGGAGCTTGTTAAACCCTATTAACACTTAGTAACGATTCTAACCGCAGTGTTCGAATGGTTTTCTGGGTGGCCACTGTTCACATGAACGACCACGACGAGGCGGCCATCTTGTTCGCATGAATGCAGGCAGCGGTGTTTGGTTGTCGAGTTCCTGGAACTAAAATTGGACAAGGAAACTCCCTAACACTGCTAGACTTCCATCATCGCCTGCGTTCGGTTCTACACCACTTAGAAGGGCACTGTTTAGTGGAATTGTTCGTCTGGATGAGGGGAACAAGCTCCAGGGTAAGACTATTGACTATGTTTGGTAGTTTGTTTGGTTTTTAAACTACTGAACTAGACCGACCACAAGCCCTGATTCTCTAGAACTGTTTTGGGCAGGGGCCTCGTGTGCGGTTGGTCAAATAATGGCTTCCATGGAAATCCCGAACCCCTGAACCGATCTGGGTGATTTTTGTATTTGTTGGTCTCCCCAGATCGGGGCTATTAGGGGGTATGATGTTTGTGGGGTTTCTATGTGTTTTGGGGGCACTTTCGGGGTGTTGTAAAATGTATGTTTTCTGTGCCTGGAGATAATGGAGTTTAGTACAGTTCCTGACTCAATTATCTCTCAGGCACAAGGGGAAGGATTATCTTGTTTTGTGTGAGAGTGTCCTGTAATTACAGTGTGTACTTTGCCATAGTCCCCTCTCAGGTCCAATGGGGAATGCCCCTGGAATATGTCACAGTAAACCCCTTGCATCGGGACTTGCATATAAACCGGCCAGTTGGCCTGAATGAATTAATTTCCTGTTGTACCCTACATCTAGTTTAAGGTATACGTCTGATTGCTTGGAGAATTTACTTGGATACTACATTTTCTTCTGGAAAACGAACTGTGAGCTATAAATCACTCATTCTTTAGCAGTTTGGGAGGCACCGAAAGCGAACGGGTATCTGAAATACCAGCGTTCGTAACAATTTGCAATTAACATTCAAATGGCAATTATTTTTTAGGTCAGATATTTTTCATTCATTTTTTCATCTGGGTTTAATTTATGAAAATTCAATTTTTAGCGAATAACCCTTTCTCGGACCCTTTGTAAAACTGCCAGCTATATAAGAATTTACAAGTGTGTGTCTCAGCCAGGGGAGGTGTGACTAGGGCTGCATAAACAAAGTGACGTAACGTCTAAATAGCAGAGAATTGAGCATGGAGAATGCAGGGGCATGATATATACACAGAAACTGCTTCATTAAGCCAACGTTGTTTTGTTGCTTATAGTGTCTCTTTAAGTGAATACATATGTGTTTTCAGTTTATTAAATCAGGAATTATAGAGAATTGCATATGTTAGTCCAAAAATCGCCACGTTTCCCATTTTGGCTTGTTAGACAGAGAAATGTCAAACTCTAGGCCTTATTTACAATCCTCAGTTTATATAATACATTGCCTGTTTTTAACAATGGTTTCCCTGTCACCTGGATCCCCACTGTCCTCTGAGGCTCCTTTACCCTCTGGTGATATGTGTCTGGGTTCTGTGAAGCTGCAGAAGCTGATCCAGTCACCATCATTGGTTGAGAGTGTCAACTGACTGCTTTCAGCCAATGGCTTACATTCTGTGCAATAAAAGTTGCACAGACTTGACATTAGATAGCCTGGAACTCTAGGCTGATGACATCCTATGACGCTGCCAATGGTGGTGTTACCCCACCAGCAGAAAAGGGGTTAAACTCTGTAAGTGCAGCAGTTTAAAAGCAAAACAATGCACATACAGTCTCCAGGCACCATGACAACTTCAAATCGCTACAGTGGAGTACGACTTTAAAGGGACACTATAGGCACCCAGACTACTACAGCTCATTGACATGGTCTGGGTGCACTGTCCCAGCACCCTTACTCCTGTAAAGCAAATTATTGCAGATTTATTTTTAATAAACTGCCATAATTAGCTTTGTGGGGTTACTCCACCTCTAGTGGGGGGAGGTGGGAACTATAGTGTCACCACTATAGTTCCCCTTTAAATAAGAATCAATTGGCACTACAGTAGTAAAGTTTTATCCAAGAAGCAGAGCACTTTGATAAAAGGGATATTCTAAGCACCTTATCAGTATCAATACAGTCAAGTCTTGTGGTGCCATCTAATGTTTTTAGCAAACGGTTTTGAGAGCTGTTTGGAGACAGTGTCTCTCTTGGCAACCATAGATGGAGCCCTCTTCAGCTTCATTGATAATACAGAATTTACATTTCCACATTAGAACTCTCACACCCATTCAGCCTGGACAGTGGTGGTAGGGAGCAAGTGAGCTAAACCAATGTCTAGAGCCAATCACAGCTGTCCTGGTTGGATGGAAAAGATGGTGTAAATTCCATATTATCAGTGGAACTAATGAAGTTGGTAGTTTACACTGACCCCAAGCAGTTTGGGAAGAAAAAAAAAAAAAAAGACTATCGACCCTTGTGGGTCAATGGGCAATACAGACAGGATGGCCACCATTATGCTCCTGCTGAGTTAACAGATCTTAAATTAAAAATGAAAATTAACATCAGTTTATGATGGCAAAGACACAAACCTAACACCTGATTAGTTCACAAATGATTTCACACTCACTTCCAATTTCAGATTCCCTCTCTTCCTTGATAATCTTCTCCAGTAGGTTGGAACACATCTTATTCAGACACTGGACTTGTTTCTACAATAAGAAGACAATGTTAGCTCACATGAAACACTTTCCTTCTGTGAAAAGTCCCACACCAGTTGACAGAGTATATCAACCTGAGCTGCCTCTGGGGTAAGTCGTGCTGCCTCGGCACCAAGCTGTTTCTCAATTTCTTCCACGTCTGGGTCAGGTTTGGTCCTTAAGTGATCAGGGACTACTTCGTGGCTGAAGACTGGTACCCGGCCTTCTGTTAAACGCTGAAGATAGGGAGATAGGGAGATATCTAGTCTCAGCACACACTAGTGTATTTCACATTTATAAAAAGCCAGAAATGTATGTGGCTTTATACATAGGGGCAGCGAGGGAGTACTTCTGGAGATAGGCGGAAGAAATGAGAGAAGAGGGTTACAAGTCAAGGCAGAAGAGTGGGCAGGTGGAAGGGTATCTGCAAGAAGAGCAGAGATATATACGGAATGCAAGTTTTGGAACTTTTTCTGAAAATAAAACGCAACTTACCATGATTTCCTCATCTCTGTCAGGAGACAGGAGAAGTGGGATGATTACTTGGTTTTTTAGGAGGGGGGTCTTCTCATTTTTTAATACCTTATTCAATGTGTTCAGCTGCCCAGAGAGCAGAGCAAAGTTATCTAAGACTGATGGCCTGGGAAGAGACATCAAAGAAATGAAAGACCATAATTTGCATTGGAATTACCTGTGAGTGCTGTATTCACGACTATTACTGTAAGCAGGGCCGGATTAAGAGCACAGTGGGCCTGGTGCTGACAATTATGATGGGCCTAATTATGAATCTTATCGACCAAAAACACTAAAACAATCATACCTCCCAAGTGTCATGTATCTGATGGAGATGGTGCTGGAGGGAAATTCATAGGATGCAGCTATAAGAAAACACATACTCTATGCTAATTTCTCTCTAATTTATGCTTTAATCTTTCAAGTAAGTCCATAACCCCTAACAGCAGAGTCCAGTGAAGCAGGAAGTCAATGGGCGGGGTAAAAGGGTGTGCCACTTCCACGAATCACGTGACAAGACCTGCCAAAAGGGGTGAACATGCCCAAAAAGGGGGCATGTTTGTCCAAAGAATTGGAAGGTCAGCCTGGCATGAATGCATGTCAGGCTGCCTGCCAATCCTGCAGGCTGTCCAACTAAGGGCATACTATGCAGGCAGCACCTTGACTTGACATAAATGCGTCTAATGATGCGCTCACTCTTTCTAAGGACTGTCCCCTAGCACTCGCTGGTCCACTTGTCTCCTTACCTTCTTACTAGCAGGCAGAAGGTCCTGGTATATAGTCTGAGACAGAGAAAATGTGTCTGTAGTGAGTGTAGAAGAAAAGGGACATGCCACAGTGTTAGAGAGACCAACGTCTGCATTACCTAAACTAACTTTAATGTCAGTCAGTGCACACAAGTTTTGTTCCCATACATCCCTCTTAAGCTTCCAAACGTAAAGGGACACTATAATCACCAGAACAACTACAGCTTATTGTATTTGTTCTGGTAAGTAGAATCATTCCATTCAGGCTTTTTGCAGTAAACACTGTCTTTTCAGAGAAAATAACTCCACTGGCCACTCCTTAGATGGCTGCTAGAGGTGCTTCCTGGGGCAGTACTGCCTAGTATGCAGCACTGCCATTCAGTGTCTCCACCCTTTGCATGCAGACACTGAACTTTCCTCATAGAGATGCATTGATTCAATTTATCTTTATGAGGAGATGCTGATTGGCCAGGGCTATGTTGGACTTGTGCTGGCTCTGCCCCTGATCTGCCTCTTTGACAGTCTCAGCCAATCCTATGGGGAAGTATTGCAATTTGCTCAGATCATCACTTCTGAGCCAGCAGCTGCAGAATTGAATACAAGTAATATTTTACTATATTTAGGGAGGCAAGAAGGGGCCAGGGTGGTGGTTTTAACATAATAGGGTAAGAAATACATGATTGTGCTCCTGACACTATAGTGCTCCTTTAAGCAAGAGTATGTGAAGAGTAGTTAAGGTTGCCACCTTTCTTGGAAAAAAATACCAGCCTTAATCAATTGTATAATTAGTTATGCGTGACATCACATGATGTAAATCACAAGGAGTGACATCAGAGAAAATTCTGTAAAATCACCAACAAACTACTCACAGTTTGATTCTGCTGTATAGATGGATTGCTCCCAGTGTCTCAGTCTCGCAAGTCACCCAGTGTCTCAGTGTCCCTATGTATCACAGTGTCAGTGTCCCCATGTCGCCCAGTCCCCTAGTCTCCCAGTGTCTGTGTCCCCATTTCTCCCAGTGTCCCAATGTCTCAGTGTGTCCCCATGTCACTAGGATACTGGGGACACTGAGAGACCCGGGGACACAGAGACATGGAGACACTGGGAGACATGGGGACACTGGGAGACATGGGGACACTGGGAGACATGGGGACACTGGGAGACATGGGGACACTGGGAGACATGGGGACACTGGGAGACATGGGGACAGACATGTGGACACTGGGACATATAGGGACACTGGGAGACATGGGGACAACAGGCACACTGAGACACTAGGAACATAGACACTGGGAGACATGGAGACACTGAAACATTTGGGGACACAGACACTGGGAGACTAGGGGACACTGGGAGACTAGTGGACACTGTCTGGGAGACAGACACTTGGGGAGACATGGGGACAGTTGTGGACATAGACATGGGGACACTGGGACACAAGGCACACTGAGAGACATGGGACACAGACACTGGGAGACTTGGGGACACTGAGACACTAGGGACACTGGCTGGGGGACATAGTGTCGCCGTGTCCCAATGTCCCTATGTCTCACAGCATCCCCATGTGTCTCAGCATCCCCATGTGTCCCCTAGTGTCTGTGTCCCCAGGTCTCCTAGTGTCTGTGTCCCCATGTGTCCTAGTGTCTCAGTGTCCCCTAGTGTCTGTGTCCCCATGTGTTCCCTAGTGTCTGTGTCCCCTAGTGTCTGTGTCCCCATATGTCCCCAAGTGTCTCAGTGTCCCCTAATGTCTCATTGTCCCCAAGTGTCTCAGTGTTCCCAGGTCTCCCAGTGTCTGTGTGCTAGTGTTTGTGTCCCCTAGTGTCTCAGTGTCCCCATATGTCCCCTAGTGTCTCCATGTGTCCCCTAGTGTCTCAGTGTCCCCATGTGTCCCTGCTGCCTTTCCCCCCATCCCTCACTTACCTGAGCTGTAGAGCTGCTGTCTGGACTCTCTGTGCTGTGTAGCTGCTCCCCCACGGATCAGTGAGTAGCAGAGAGAGGCAGGGATATTCTGTAACTTCCTATCCCTGCCTCTCTCCACACACAGTGACCCCTACTGGCTGGTGATGGTATTGCAGAGTAATTTCCATTTATTCTGAGAAAATGACCTGCATTTGTATTGCCGGTATTACTGCAATACCGGCACGACCAGGCAGCCTCAAATACCATCTGTGCCATTAAAATACCAGTCAGGTGGCAAACCTAAGAGTAGTGTGTAAAAAAAAAAAATTTTTTTTTTAAATGGGCCTATTCCATGGGCCTGGGCCTGGAGCTGCAGTTCCATCAGCCCCTATGTTAATCCGGCCCTGACTGTAAGAATAAACGCTTTTGAGTGCACAGTGGGAATTGTAAATGTCACCCGACAGTTTGAAAAACGTATCCGCAAACTAGTAAATGCAGGAATTTTAGGAAGTTTGAAGAAATATGCCTGTGAAATTTATTTATTATTTATAAAATATTTTACCAGGAAGGATACATCGAGATTTCTCTCTCCTTAGCCCACCAACACTGCATTGTAACAATAGTGTACAGCATAATATTAAAAATACAAAGTCATATTTAAAAATACACATATACATTTAACATGAAAATCCAACTGGTCGTTGTACTCTTGCCAGGAGGAGTGGAGGAGTGATACATCACTAGAAAAACTCCAATGTAAAATTAGGTTTTTCTTCCACCTATTCCAAATAACGGATTGAAAAAGGTGGGGAGAGAGAGCACCCGCAGGCAATCCTTCTGCTCTCCAAGCATAGTATATCTCTACACAATGCTGCTCCCACCTATATATCCTCCCTAATACACAAGTATGTCCCGGCTAAGACCCTATCCCCTGTCCGTACTCCCATCTCTAATGCCCGCCTTAAATACTTGTCTAGGGCTGCACCATTCCCATGGAACAACCTTCCCTTCTCCGTTAGACATTCACCCAATCTCCACTCCTTAAAAAAAAAAAAATCATTGAAAACTGACTTCTTCAGGAAAGCATATCAATTAAACTGTTAATAGTCCCCCACACTGATTCCTCTCCTGCAACTGTCATAAAAAAAAACAAAAAAAACAGACCACTAAGTCTTCAGTAAATACTATCCTACCAAATCTACTTTTTGACCCTATCCTTACCCTTTGTATCACATTACCGCACTACCTCTAGCATGTAAGCTCATTGAGCCCCTCTGTTCCTGTATTTCCACTTGTCTGGTTACAAATACATGTCTGTTAGTCCACCCATTGTACAGCGCTACGGAACTTGTTGGCACTTTATAAATAATAATAGCAACACAGTGCACATATGATGGTTGGGATGTGGTTGGTCCCTAGGGAGTACAGGAATGTCAGAATGCAGACAGCGTGTTGGTGTCATGGAGGAGGTTTGCCCTGTTTGGGGCCCCAACCAGAAACAACCTGCGGGAGGAGCAAGGGTGGAACGGATGTAGGCCAATGCAATCTTGGTAGCTTCTCCCGAAATTCAAGCTAAAGTAGAGCAGAATAGTGATTATAACTCTCAATCCCCCATGAAGAGGACCTTCATGAAGAGGTAAAACGATTGTTTATGGATGGCCACAACTCGGCCTTTTATGCAGGTCCTCCAGCAAGGGATACTCCCACGGGGACCTTGTGGAGGACTGAGATACAAGTTACAGTAACCAATTATTTTACAGTACAATATAAAACACTCCCACATAAACAGTGAAATCCCTCCTTTCTATCCTGGAGATAATTGGGTTAAGTGTCTGTAGTAAACTCAATTATCTCCAGGTAGAGAAAATATTTCCATTTTACAAAGGTAACAAAATACATTAAAATATATAACTTATTTTACCGAACAGAACCCACACATTTCAATATATCCCCAGGTACATTGGGTCTGAGCGCTCAATCTAACCGAACAGCGCTCAGATCCCACAAACCCAGTCCAAACGCCATGGAGCTACAAAGTCTGTTCACCGACTGTTCGCTCGAAATATGTCCCAAATTGGCTCCATGGATTTAGCTATCTGGGGTCGGTCTCGTTCGTATATTGAATGTACTGAACGACACGGCGTTCGTTTACATGGAGACGAAAGAGGTAGAAGTTGGATAGTCCCAGTGGTGTTCATGTGAAATTGTGGTCAAAAATAGTTCCACGCGGACCACGACCAAACACCGCTGGGCATTCGTCAGTTTAAAATAGCCACCGCCACATGTTCGTTCAAACGAACTGTGACCACCCAGTTGTTCGTCAAGTAGCTGTGGTTAACCGCAGCTTCTGCGCAATTAATGATCTGTACACTTCTATTGCGGGTGGTCCAATCAGAGAAGCCTTGCAAATTGTGCACGCCTGACATTGTCCAATTATTATTATTTATATAGCGCCATCAGATTCCGTAGCGCTGTACAGTGGGAGAACTAACAAACATGTAATTGTAACCAGACAACTCAATGAGCTTACATTCTAGAGGGAGTGGGGTACAGTGACACAAAGTGTAAAATTAGGAGTACGAAGTAGGTTGTTAGAAAAGTATTTACTGAGGGCTTAGTAGGTCATTTTTGACAGTTGCAGGAGAGGAGTCAAGGGGGGTGGGGGATAAAAACCTGCTAACAGTTTAATTGATATGCTTTCTTGAAGAAGTGAGTTTTCAATGATTTTTGAATGAGTGGAGACTGGGTGAAATTCTTATGGAGAAGGGAAGGGAGTTCCATAGAAGAGGTGCAGCCCTAGAAAAGTCTTGGAGGCGAGCATTAGAGGTGGGAGTACGGACAGAGGATAAACTTAGGTCTTTGGCAGAGCATAGGGGCCTCGACGGGACATACTTGTGTATTAGGGAGGATAGGTAGGTTGGAGCAGCATTATGTAGGGGCTTGTAAGCAAGCACCAGAATTTTAAATTGGAAGGCAATGCAGGGACTGACAGTGCGGGGAGGCGTGAGCGGACAGGAAAATGAGCCTTGCCGCTGCATTCATTATAGATTGCAACGGTGCAATCTGGGAACACGTAAGACCACTGAGAAGAGTATTGCAGTAGTCCAGGCGACAGAGAACAAGAGCATGGACCAGCACCTTAACCACATCCAGGGTTAAATAGGGGAGGATGCTCGCTATGTTTTTGAGATGGAAGAGACAGGATTTGGCGATTGATTGGACATGAGGGGTGAAGGAGAGGTTGGAGTAAAAAAGAACACCAAGGAAGCGAGCTAGAGGTGATGGTAGCGCAGTTGACTTGGAGGGAGACAGACACATAAGTAGTAACACTTGAGGGAAGAAAGACCAGAAGTTCTGTTTTGGACAGATTGAGTTTAAGGAAGTGAGCAGCCATCCATTTAGAAATCGAAGAGAGGCAGTCAGAGACACGAGAGAAGATGGGCGGAGAGAGATCAGGAGAGGACAGGTAGATTTGCGTGTCATCTGCATAGAAATGATAACGGAAGCCAAAGGAATTGATGAGTTTACCATGAGAGATAGAGAACAGTCGGGGACTAAGGACAGAACCTTGGGGGACGCTGACAGAGAGTGGTTGGGAGGAAGAGCCAGATTCAGAGAAAGAAACACTGAAAGAGCGCTGGAGAGGTAGGAGGAGCACCAGGAGAGAGCAGTATCCCGTAGACCAAAATTACAGAGAATGTGAAGAAGCTGTTGATGATCAACAGTGTCAAAGACAGCAGAAAGATCAAGGAGAATTAAGATAGAGTAATTGCCGCAAGATTTAGCAGCAATTAAATCAGAAAAGCCGTGCAAATTGTGCACGCCTGACATTGTCCAATCAGAGAAGCCTTGCAAATTGTGCATGCCTGACACTGTCCAATCAGAGAAGCCTTGCAAATTGTGCATGCCTGACATTGTCCAATCAGAGAACCCTTGCAAATTGTGCACGCCTGACATTGTCCAATCAGAGAAGCCTTGCAAATTGTGCACGCCTGACACTGTCCAATCAGAGAACCCTTGCAAATTGTGCACGCCTGACATTGTCCAATCAGAGAAGCCTTGCAAATTGTGCACGCCTGACACTGTCCAATCAGAGAAGTCTGCAAATTGTGCACGGCTGACAAATCACACTTCACAATGAACTACATTCAATGTTTTTTGGCTTATTGAGAAGTATACTAATGGCAACTGCCACTGAATTTTCACTCATCTCGTAAACGTTTCTTACATTTACGGTCATATTATGATTATTTGAATCTTTTAAGATGTATATTAATTTTTTTTATTTTTAAAGTAAATTTGTAATTATCTGTTGCCATCAGAGTTATTCGACCGAGAGTCACTCTTGACCTGTTCTGTCATCCATCACCCAGCAGGCCTGGCTTGCTAACGGGGTCTGATTTCCTGCTCTTCACTAAAGCAGGGCGGATGCTCACTTGCCAGCACATCAGCGCATCTCATACTCCCTCAGAAAGAGTGAGAAACCTGCTGGGGGAGAAAGCAGTGTGAGTAAAGGACCACCCGGAGAAGAGTTCTCATGTTTCCCTTGTCACTCAGTCCACAGCTGGCACACAGGTCCAATGCTGAGGACATGACAGGCAGAAGAGAACTATTTTAAAGAACTTTAAACTAAAATCTATATATTTTCTAGCGCAGATTATAGATTGAACTGAATGGTCTTTAAAATTAGCATAATTTGTCCATATCATGGATATAAGATGCCTGTGAATGGACTGATGTCAGGAATGTGCTGGGCAGAGTACATAGTGACACAAGAACATGATTGGTTTACAAATAAAGTGACACTCCAGGCACACTCTGATAGGGCTTTGCCTCATATTCATGCTGCATTTTCTCCATATTCATATTGTCATATAGTTTTTCACCATTCTGTAGTGCATACCCACCCTATCAGTCACACCTTTCTCACGTACCAATTTCCTTACTAGACGTATTCTGTGTGAGCGGAGCTGCAGACATGATATCCCCCACAGCCAATCACTGCCCTTTTATTATCATGCCCCTTTCCCCTTAATGCGGCTTTGAAATACAATAGAAGTAAACAAAGACAGAGATTGGAGAGAGTTCTGGGCAGGCTAATGATAATTGTGTGCATAAAAAAAAATATATCATAGAATGTGTGCCAGCCCAGCCTTTGCTGCAGGAGCTAGGTTAACCCTTTATTAAGCTAGCCTTTTATTTCCTTTGTAAACTATGTAAGACGGCAGGACCGTGGTCTAAGACCTATGCCAGAAGGCCATCACTCACCATGTCAGCCGATCATACTCATTTTCCAGTTTGTAGATGAAACTAACCAAAGAGTTCTTGATACTGGACATCTGCACAATAAGAGCGTCCAGACAGGCCTCCAGCTGCTTTTCTTCCCTCTGGGCAAATAAAATACAGTTATAGAGAGCCTTGTGGCTGAGAATGTGACGTACGAGGGGATAGATTCTGTATAGATTATACATGTAGGGGGAGATGTATATTATATGTACAAAAAGATAGTTTATTTATATTTTATGTGCGAGGGTATAGATTCTGTATATATTATACATGTAGGAGGAGATATATTATATGTACTAAGAGATGGTTTATTTCAGGGATCGACCGATATGGATATTTTTTTTTAAGAGCTGATACAGATAACTTACCGATATACTGTACATTTACCATTTTGAAAAAATAAACTACTTCTACACAAATCTACTGTTAACTAAACAGGTTTATTTATTTTTTTGCAAATCTTTTTTTACCACGTTAAATGCACAAAATATACACGGCAGTCAGAATTTTTTATCTTTTCAAGAATGTGTGTGTGTAGTGGATGCAGTGAGAGTATTTGATTAGTGAATGCAGTGTGTGTGTTTTTGTGTAGTGTATAATTGTGTAGTGGATGCAGTGTGTGTTTGTGTAGTCTGTGTGTATAGTGGATGAAGTGTGTGTTTGTGTAATGTGTATATAGTGAATGCAGAGTGTGTGTGTATAGTGTGTAAATAGTGAATATAGTGTGTGCTTGTGTAATGCGTATATAGTGAATATAGTGTGTGTTTGTGTAATGTGTATATAGTGTGTGTTTGTGTAATGTGTATATAGTGAATACAGTGTGTGTTTGTGTAATGTGTATATAGTGAATACAGTGTGTGTTTGTGTAATGTGTATATAGTGAATACAGTGTGTGTTTGTGTAATGTGTATATAGTGAATACAGTGTGTGTTTGTGTAATGTGTATATAGTGAATGAAGAGTGTGTGTATAGTGTGTAAATGGTGAATGCAGTGTGTGCTTGTGTAATGTGTCTATAGTGAATATAGTGTGTGTTTGTGTAATGTGAATATAGTGAATATAGTGTGTGTTTGTGTAATGTGTATATAGTGAACAGTGTGTGTTTGTGTAATGTGTAGATAGTGAATACAGTGTGTTTGTGTAATGTGTATATAGTGAATACAGTGTGCATATAATGAATGCCCAGTGTGTGTGTATAGTGAATGCAGTGTGTATAGTGGATGCAGTATGTGTTTATGCAATGTGTATATAGTGAATACAGTGTGTGTTTGGGTAGTCTGTATATAATGAATGCGGAGTGTGTGTGTTTGTGTAGTGTGTGTATAATGGATGCAGTGTGTGTTTGTGTAGTGTGTATATAGTGAATACAGTGTGTGTGTGTAATGTGTATATAGTGAAAGAAGAGTGTGTGTATAGTGTGTAAATAGTGAATGCAGTGTGTGCTTGTGTAATGTGTATATAGTGAATACAGTGTGTGTTTGTGTAATGTGTATATAGTAAATACAGTGTGTGTAAAGTGTATATAGTGAATACAGTGTGTTTGTGTAATGTGTATATAGTGAATACAGTGTGTGTTTGTGTAATGTGTATATAGTGAATACAGTGTGTGTTTGTGTAATGTGTATATAGTGAATGAAGAGTGTGTGTATAGTGTGTAAATAGTGAATGCAGTGTGTGCTTGTGTAATGTGTATATAGTGAATAAAGTGTGTGTTTGTGTAATGTGTATATAGTGAATGAAGAGTGTGTGTATAGTAAATGGTGAATGCAGTGTGTGCTTGTGTAATGTGTCTATAGTGAATATAGTGTGTGTTTGTGTAATGTGTATATAGTGAATATAGTGTGTGTTTGTGTAATGTGTATATAGTGAATACAGTGTGTGTTTGTGTAATGTGTATATAGTGAATACAGTGTGTGTTTGTGTAATGTGTATATAGTGAATGAAGAGTGTGTGTATAGTAAATGGTGAATGCAGTGTGTGCTTGTGTAATGTGTCTATAGTGAATATAGTGTGTGTTTGTGTAATGTGTATATAGTGAATATAGTGTGTGTTTGTGTAATGTGTATATAGTGAATATAGTGTGTGTTTGTGTAATGTGTATATAGTGAACAGTGTGTGTTTGTGTAATGTGTATATAGTGAATACAGTGTGTTTGTGTAATGTGTATATAGTGAATACAGTGTGCATATAATGAATGCCCAGTGTGTGTGTATAGTGAATGCAGTGTGTATAGTGGATGCAGTATGTGTTTATGTAATGTGTATATAGTGAATACAGTGTGTGTTTGTGTAGTGTGTATATAGTGAATACAGTGTGTGTTCGTGTAGGTATATAATATGTGTAAAATGAGGGGAGGTGGGGGGGCATTTTTATTTTTTTTAACTTTTTTTAGAAAAAAATATTAAATTTTTTTACATTTTGTTTTAGTCCTCCCTCCCCGCTTCTTACCTGGCCGGGGAGGGGGAGGTGGGGGGGGAGGGTATGGCATTCCCTGGGGAGGGGCAGCACACTCTTACTTCCCTTCCCAGCAGCTCCTCTGTCTAACTCTTGCGGTCTGCGTGCAGCGTGGAGAATGGTAACCCGTGGCAATGCTCTGACGGCTGCGGGACTCGCAAGAGTTAGAAAGGGGAGCTGCTGTGAAGGGAAGTAAGAGTGTGCTGGGCCCCCAAGGCTGCATTACCAGTATCTTTATTGGCCGATGCCGATATTGCAGGAAAATACAGAATATCGGCCAGACCGATAATCGGTCAATCCCTAATTTAAACACACACACACGACTAAAATATTGCTGTAAACAAGCATACCTTTTTTAATGGACTAACAGAATACTTAAAATGACAAGCTACACTTACACACACATATATATATATAAACTGTCCTCTCATACAATTTTATCACATGACAGGAGGCTTCGTATTTTGCATAATCTTTCTTTACTAACTCCATAGCAGCAAAGAAAAGAGTGACAAAACTGAGAACCAATCACAATGCAGTATAGAGTATAAGAGGTGTAACAGATGACATAATTTCCTCTTTCTTTGCTGCTCCATCACAAGCTAAGTACAAAATTTGTTCTCTCATCATTCAGCTCATATATATACTTTACACTGTCTTTATTTTACATAGCTGTCTTGTATATTTACACACACACACACACACACACACACACACACACATATATATATATATATATATATATATATATTTTTTTTTACTATTGGCCCCATTTTGTGGGGCTAACTCTCTCCCCTAAAGGTCTGCCCCCTGTTTTTCCCTCAGGGACCTTTCTCCCCTCTTTTTTTCAACCCTGGGACTTTGCCTCAGGCTTCTACAGATATTTTTCACGGCTCCTGCCGTCCATTCCGCTCCTCCATACTCCCTTCACGTTTTTTTTCTGTGCGCTCGCGCACAGACATTTCAAATTTTCAACTGAACGCTTCTCGTTCGTCAGTTTGGCGCGATCGCCTTCTTACTCGCGAACGCCTGTGGTTTTCTGTGCGTTCGTACAGTCATTTCGTTTTTTTCTACCGAACGCGTCCGTTCGGCACTTTGCCGCGGTTCGCCTATTTTAGGCGCTCGCGACCAATATTACTAGGCGCACGTTCGGTTGTTTTATCACACGAACGCCAGACATCTAAATTTTTGCCGCCCAAATTGGAGGAGGTTCTATCTCCCTCATACTGACGGCTGTTAGTCCGGCGGCCATCTTAGAGGGGATAAGCACTGTCAGCTGCCTGCTCCAGCTACCAACTGCAAGCAACAGGAAACCCTTATCATATCCTGCCCCTTCACTCAGTGGGACCAAGTCAGGTTTGTACCTAACACCTGGGGTTGGTTTAAGCCAGTTGGACTGTACCTTATTCTGGCCGGGGTGAGCCCCCATTTTGTGCTGCTAAGCGGACCTGTTCATGCAGGATTCCGATTACCTGGGTGAGCCCCAGTGACACAGCCTTCTCATTATCATTACTACAACCTACCGGTCCCTACCCTCTCAGGTTAACCATTACCGATAACATACCACCCCTGGTCCCCAGGCCTCTCCACTAATTGTGCCTAAAGTGCCCTCACGCAAATCTATCGGGTGAGCCCCGAATACCCTTTCGAAATCATGGAGGAATCTCAGACCTCCAGGCCATGATCACAGCAGCTGTGGCCGCAGCCATGGAAAAGGCCTCTTCTATGTCGCTCCCGGCAGACCTAGACACCCCTAAACCCATCTCTAAACGGGTTCACTATAGAGCAGACTCCGAAGACTCCGACTCCTCCAGGGAACGCTCCCATCGGCCTACGCGCCATTGGAAGGGCGAGGCCGCTGCGCCACGCATATCTAAGGGTAAAGCCCCTGCTAAACGCAGGAAAGCCATGGCTCGTACTGCCCACAACCCCACACTGATCTCCTCAGGTGAGGAAGACACAGAACCCACACACGCTCTAGCTGTGCTAGATGAATGGCAGGCGACGGTCTCCGACCAGGAGGACTCCGGTGAAGACTCCGCGGCCAACTCTGACCCTTATTTCACAAGGGAACAGTTTCTGGGTGAGCCCCAGGACTCCATGGCTACACCCATGGATAACCCACAGGAGGGCACAGAGATTTTCCTTGACAATTCGGGCCTCCAAATGTTTGACCCGAGAAATATCCGTCATCCCCGTTCGGAAGAATGGTCTCCACCCGAACATTTGACAAAGTTTATGCACTTCTGGCTCAGGAAATCTCTGGACAAGGAAGTAAGGAAACGCATGAGATCAGAATGCCCCCGGCCTAGCCTACCAGACAAGGTGGCGCACCCCCCCGAATTTGACCCGCTCATGACGACTTTTATGTCCCGAGGGGGTCGGGACCTGCGCAGAGGCATAGAGGGGGTTTCAAAGGAGCGCATGACAAACTGCTAGACGCCATTGGGCCGCTAGCTAGGATTATGGACATGGCGGATGACGCCTATGAGAGGGCTGATGATTTCACCCCAGATACGGTGCGTGAGTGGGCACGAGACACCCGTGAATGAGCACAGAGGTGTTTCCGTTTCCTAGGAAACACCAACGTAGCCCCTCTC